TTGATGAAATAGTAAGAATTGGGACATCGCCTTGGCAATTATTGAGCTGGAAACCTGGATATCCGCAATACTCCGGCCTATCCCAACCAAAGAATGGATAACTTATTCCCCGGATTCCGGCACACTGAAATGGAGCACCACAGGTTGCATATTCTCCACCGTTTTGACACAAGGAACCCGGGATGTACCGGATTAACAGCAGGCTTATGAGGGGAAGAAAATATCTCCGCGTGAGTTTGGGATGCATATTTGGAGAAAAAAGAGAGAGGTTACAGAAAAATGGGATAAGCCAAGTTCATGTTGAAGATGGATGGCTTAAATTCTTCTTTTTGGACGTAATATTGATTACTATGCTTTAAAATGTGAACCCAGTGGGAATTGACAAAGCATGTCACTTTGTGCAGTTTTTTCAAACAAATTAGAAGCTTCTGTTGGAAACTTGGAATGGACTAGGTCAAAGAAATATTAAGTAATTACAAAGTGATTGCACATAATTTTAATAGTTCCTAGATTTACAAGCACAGAACAAAGTGAATAATTTGTTAGGGATGTGTGAAAAAAAGTTAAAAACTTGCACATCAACTGGAGATAGAGACAATATTAAGTTCATAAGGACTCAACAAGTGATATCAAAGTTGTGTTCCGAACTAAACCACGTGGATGAGAATCACGGATTCAAAAAGTGTATAAAAGATCTGAACGAAGGTATGGACCTCAATTGGTCGCGATAGCAGGAGATTAATGAACTCGTGAGTTGCGGAGTATCTATGGTAATGCATGCCTAATGCGATGGAAATAATATAGACCTATGTGTGATCTTTCTATTTCTAATCGATAGAAAATGGACGAAAGATGTTACTGGTTAAAGGAAACCCATTGTGATCTTGTGCGAGTCACGAAGGAACAGTTAATTGTTGAAGATTTATGAACAAAAGTCTCCTATAGCGGATGAATGAAAGGCTCGTTAGGGTGTCATCCAAATTTCGGCATATTTTGGAAAAGTTTTGGATATGAGCCGAAATAAGGGCCATGGATAGGTAAAGACTAGTAGTTTGGTGAGAAGCTTAACTAATGATAAGGCTATGCCTTCTGTGCTATTCAAAAAACTTGTTTACCTAACTAAAGAAACAATGAGAGACGAGTTCAGAAAGTTGTGGAGTCGGATCAACCAGAAGACAAGACATGTCATCTTACTAAGATCTCGATGGTTATCTTCCTAAGCAAATCACGTGTGATCAATCGTGAACCTTCATACGAGTAGAAGCGGGAGGTCATAACTCAATACTTCTTAGTCAAGAGTCTTATTAATATGGCCAAAAATACAACTATTATGAATAGGAAAGAAGTGACCTATCTTTTTGTATGCAGTTTCTAATTCCAATTCATAGTATTGTATTGTTAACCACACAAACACGAACTTAAGCAAGTAGCACTCCACCGGTGTCAAGTTCACTTCAAGAAGTCCAAGTTGGCCTATTGACCGTAGTTCAATAGCTCCGATATTTTCTTCCTACTCACTTTTTCTAAGACAGAATTTCTCCATTCCACATTTACTAGCAGACAAGTAAATCGAGTTGTCAACATCTTACCAGATTCAAGCGATTGCTCACCAATTCATAATGGAGAAAATAATTAACCACTGATCCATTCAAGTCAAAATCTAATTGGACTGGTTGGAAAAGTGTATCAAGCCTAACAATCCCCAAAGAATGATTCCTAGAGAATTGTAACTAGTGTCAATTCCCAATTTATTCGTTATGATTTCTACACCTTACGGATGATCCTCCTAACAGTAATACTCACTTGACCATACCGTCGTTTTACCACGTTATTAAGTCATCTTAGTCTCATACTTGATTCATAATGCTCGTTAGTAGTCGAACCTTGGAAGCCTCTAACCAATGGTGAAAAATACAATCTATGAATAAGCCCTGATTCCCAATGTTAAAGAGTATTAATAAACGAAGAAGGAATCAGAAAAGAAAGAAATGCGCACCCGAAGAAGATCTATCTCCATTAGTCCTCGAGCAGGTTGCCGATATGTATGGCTGATCAGGGCAAAAGCAAGATGTTTGATTTGTAGCAAAGTTAAATCCACACCGTCCCTTTGATTCAATGCAGTCATTGCAATCTTTGTCGTCCATCTTCCATCTGATCTCAAAACCCTTCTGGAGGACCTGATCCAACGTTGTAGAATTCACTGATCCTCCAGCTCCGTGTCCATCTCCAGTACTCACAAGTACTGGAACCACAACACTTGTATTACATTTTCCAGGGCCTTGAGTTCCAGGCAATACATAAACACTATTATATCCACTAGAGCAAACAAGGCTTAAACCCGGAATATTCAATGTAGGACAACCGTATAGAAACGTGAAGTTCGTGTTGGTCGCTGAATAATCAAACAACGAGTAGTCTAGAGTGGTGTTAACCATGTCTAGTGGACAAGTTCCCATCATCACATCTTCCCTAACAATCCTCATAGTTTGGGTGCTTTCGTTAATTCCCAACACGTGATACGTTGCGTTCACTATATCGATGGTTGTTACATCATTCTGTTGACAGTGAAGGACTAAACCAGGATATCCACAATATAGAGGATCATCTATTCCCCGGAAAGGGTACCCAATATTGGTGATTGTCCCGCAGCTGAACTTGTTGCCACATGTTTGGTAAAACTCTTCAGGATTGCTTGAACCACTGGGGAGAACTTGGACTAGAATCAAGAATCTTATGGCCAATAGGATAAAGAATGAAGAAAGGGTTTGGGAATTCATATGAATTTATGAATGATAGATGAATCGCAAAGGTATTTTGGGTGATTATGTACAATAGAAAAGATGATAGAATGGTATTACTTTCCCTCAAAAATTTCTTTATAAAAGAGTTGGCACTGAAATTCAACGAAAATGATAGAAGAAAATAGTTAAAAGAGATAAATTTGGTGGCCAACTTCGCAGAAGGAACACTAGCTAGAACAAGAAAATTGCAGTAGATGAATAAATTAGTTGAGAGTTTGTTGACCATTAATTTCGGTTAGATGGGCTCGGTTACAAGTAATTTGAATTTTGAAGGTTGAAATATCACTTTCATTTCCATTTCGTTACCGAAATGAAATCGTTGAGCACATCATACCTAATATTCGTGACCAATGTGTATACTTTCAAGAAAGAATATAATTTGTGGTTGTTGGCTGACACTACTTGAGAACTAACTGAAAACAGATGTTTGATTTCAGTGAGAAGATAGCCATACGTGCATGCACGTTCAAAATTTCGATGGAGCAACCACGGCTTCTATTCTAGACTAGAAGAAATGGATGCCACCATGCCAAGGCAGGGATGACTCGTAAACATTGATATTTTATTCTTCTTTCTTTGTATTGTTAAGTTCTGGAGTCTAATTATTGTCATTGTTTAGAGTACTTATGTGGATCGACATTGTAATGATCATAAAGAAAAAGAGATCAGAGAAAATAAAGTATGAAAGTTTTGTACTGTAAACTTCTTTTCATCATAGCGAATTACTTTAGTGGCAGACGAGAATTTAATCTTACACTGAGGCGAACCTCAATTAATCTTGTGCGTTCTCGTGTATCTATTTTCTTACAGTCATTTTATTGTTCTTGGTGATATAAAAATAGGATTTTTAATTCTCAACACGTCTTTCTTTATTTCTTCTTTTAACTAAAATAAAGCTATATTTGTCTTTCCAATCAAATTTTATATTTTTAATAGAAAAAATCATCCAATCAAAACACAACTTCAAGAACCAAAATGTCAACTTAAGATGCTACATTATTGTAGATTAAAGGTGACCGATGCTATAACTAAACACTATATTCAATTCATATTATGTATGGGTTGATAGTAGGTCCATTTACTTTCAAAATAAATAATTTATTTTTACTTCTAAGGAAAATAAAATAATTAATCACAAATCCACAAGCAAACATCCTATTATAAATATTACCTATAAGTTTGACTACTTATTAAAAAATAAATCTCTCTCTAATTAAATTGGACATCAATACAATCTAAGTGCAAAAATAAAGAGGTTTCAGAATTTAGTGCTCTTAAATACAATAATCAATTTATACCTTACTTCGGTTCAAGTCCAAGCACTAGTAGGGTTAAAAAATCAACCTCGTGCATATAAGGTCATTCACTAAAATACAGGGATAGTAATGAGATTTGACATAGGGTCCGTTAATTACGTACTTTTCAACCACTTATTGGTACAATTCCTTGTCGCCGTTGAATTAAGAGGGTGTTTGGTGAGAATTAAAATTAAATTTTCAGTGGATTGTGATAGAAGTTTTTGGAAAGTGTGGTTGAAAAGTTGTGGGATCTGTGAAAGATGTAGTAAATATTGATCGTTTGACTTTGACTTTGACTTAAATTAAAATCAAATTTTAATCTGGCCTGGTCTGGTCCAAACATGCCCTAAATATTACACTAACAAATGCCAAATCTTCGCCCTTGTTTGAACCTCATCTTGAGAGAAAAAATGCATTTTTAATAACGATTTTTTTGGAGAATATGTGGTTTAAAATTAAGAAAAAAATTTCAATTTACGTATAGTATTATTTTATTTAAAATTGTGTGATAAATTTAAAAAAAAAAAAGGGCTCAAACAAACTTGTACCCAATAAATTAGACTGTCATATTGTACATCTAATCAAACATTATAGGTGGAATTGTAATCCTTAACATGTCCATTTAATCAAACATTATTGGCACAATTCCTTGTCACCATTGAATTAAATATTACGCTAACAATTACCAAAATTTTGTCTTTGTTTGAGCCTCATCTTGAGAGAAAAAATGATAACGATTTTTGGAGTATGTGTGGTTTAAAATTAAGAAAAAAAAATTCAATTTACGTTTAATATTATTTTATTGAAAAATGTGTAATTAAAAATAAATTTAAAAAAAAAAAAAAAGAGCTCAAACAAACTCGTACCCAATAAATTAGACTGTCCTATTGTACATCTAATCAAACATTATAGGTGGAATTGTAATCCTTAAGAATAATTCTGTGTGTACAGAACTATTCATCACAGAAAATAGTCAGAACACTCACATGGGGGCGGGTCCCATGTGAGTATAATATTGAAAAAAGAAAAAACCACCCCTTGTCGTGTGTGTATTCTGTGGGCTGTTTTTCTGTACACACAGCCCGGTTGAATCCTTAACATGTCTGTCAACCCAAGTCTCCTTTATCTCTATAAACCTTGACGCAACCGACAAGCCCCGCCTCCTGCTCCCTCTCCCAACGCCCAACCATAAATAGGTTTTGTCTGTTCTACTAGGTCGCTGTTGGTAGCACAAAATTGAGGTCATTTATGTTTTATCATAAGATTTAATTATTTTATATTTGAGTTATATAAATATTTTTAATTAATGTTTTAAACTTTTATCCAGACATTAACTCGAAAAAATAGTTAAGAATTAAAACGGCTGACCTAGGTCAAACTGATGGTAAAAATAAATAAATAAAATTGACCTGAGTTTATTGATTTTGAGATGAATTAGATACTTCTAATTTATAAATTGTAAAATTTTGGATTGAATTGGACGGTATCATACTTGAGATATCCATTTCTTTATTTTTAGGTCATTTTAATGGCTTTTAAATTATTAATTTTTGGCACACATCGAACCAATGTCTACACAAGGTCGTGATTTTGAAGATGAGCCCATGTTTGGTGGGAGGTTGGAATTAGATTTTTAGTAAATTTCGATGAAATTTGATGAATTATGCGATTTAAAAGTTATGGATCGCACGATATGTATAGTTAAAATTATTTGTTTATTCATTTCAAGATGCCGATTTGTATGAAAAATCGACTACTTATTCTAACTTCTACTTGAGCTTTAAAAGATTGAATTGCTTGTTTAGATTTGCTAAAATCCAGTATCATATTGAGTGTTCGAGTCCTAACTTAAATCTAGTCTTTGAAAGGATGATCAGTTAGTACGAACATTGTTCAATCCTACATAAAATTGAGATGAAATTATATGCAATTGGAGTACAAACGCACCTGATCTTGATGATTCCGATGATCCCATTCCCGCCGGTGACGGTTGCGTTGTATTTCCGGTAAGAAATGGGCTGCCCTTGCAGACGGCGGACCCCGGAGGCTGATTCTGGCACAAACAAATGAACTGATTCGAAGCAAGATCATACCCACACCTCCCACCCGAATTCTCGCACGAACGGCACGCACTAATGTCCACCTTACACCGAACCTCAAATCCCTCTCGCACAAGATCTAACAGATTGGGCAATCCCTTCAAATTACCAAAAGAGTTGTAGCTAGTTGGAACCACGAGACTGGCATGGCACATGGACTCGGAAAGCAGAGTTCCCATCTCAACGTAGCCATTTCTGTTCGTTGTACCCTTTACAGGGCAATCAAATTGATTCGGGAAAGGAAAAATTGGAGGTGGGCAACCGTAATGAAACGTGAGATTCATATAGGCAGAAGCATACTCAAATAGTTCTGAATCCAGGATTGTGTTGACGAATTTCGCTCCACAGATGTCTGTGGAAATGTCCATTCGAGTGATCCTTAGAACCTGCGTGTCCTGGTTGATATCCAGGACGCGGTATTTCAGTGTTTCTGTCTCAATTATCGTAGTGTCGTTTTCACATTCGAGTTTGAGCCCGGGATAACCGCATTCCCGAGGCCTGTTATTTCCCCAGAAAGGGTAATGAATGCCAGTGATTTTCCCGCAGTTGAACAGATTTCCACAACTCTTATACTGTTCATTTTCATCACCTGACAGTGGAGTAATTAGATGGAACAAAAACAGAACTGTGCAGAAGCAAATAGGGAGAGGTTTGGTAGAGAGGAATTGTGATTTCATTTTGGTGTCGTGGCTATTGGGGAACATTGGAGGATGTAATAATTCTTAATGAAAAAGGAGGCAACTGCATTGAAGAGTGCCGGGTGAAAGTTGGGAAGATAGTCAGTTTCTTTGACTACTTTTAAAGCTGAGAAATTAAAAGAAGACATTGAAATTCAGTAGCTGCTTTTGACCCCGGTTGATATAAAAATACTTCTTTTAGTTAGAAAAACTTTTAGTGGAAATTGACTCAATAGGGCTTTCATTCGGATGATGAACCAATTAAGGTAGCTTACTCAAGAAATTACAGAGATCTATCAAATGGGCTATTACAATCTCATAAATGAGTAGAGAGAAAATTCGACTTCTAAATTCACGTCAGTTCATTTACAATCAGTCTTGATTTAAATAAAGAGAGAGTTACAATAACTTATCAACTAGCATAAAACTTAATTGCATTTTGTGACATCAATGCATACGTTAATGTAGTGTTGGAACATGCTAAAGAGAGTTACAATAACTTATTAATTGTTGGTCAGCATAAAACTAAATTGCATTTTGTGACATCAATGCATACGTTAGTGTAGTATTGGAACACCACAGGTGCGGGCAACCCTTCCAGCATGGGGAGAGTTAACATAGTGACTCAAGCATGGATATTTTATTTACCCACCCGATCCTTTCATCTTGCTCGAGCAAGCATTTGAGGGAGGCTGGGACATCAAAATTGTCCCCGTGCATGGACTCAATTCAACTGCAATGGGCTACAATTTACTGCCTCTGTCAGGTTCAATTTGTCGAAAAGAGGGCAAAACTAGTTGCTATCTTCATCTATAAATGCACAGTGGTCTAGACGAGGAAAGAATAATGTAGAAATAGAGAGAACTGGGCAAGAAATTTATGGAATTGATGTATTTTGGCATAAAAATTCACCTGCAATTTATAGAACCCTGGGGGGTTGAAAATGGTCCTAATTCAACTAGTAGAGGGTAAGTGATCAAAAATTATAGGTCATACAAAACGTGTGGGTAAAAATGAATAGCTAGCGTAGGTCTTATGAAATGTGTTAATAAAAGTGCGTATAATCAAAAGAGATTAAAACTTCATTATATAATCACATAGCTAATTTTCAAATTGTGAAGAATAAACTTATTTTGTTGCTACAAGTCGACAGACGCGATACCTAATTGTGGTACGAATTAACATGATGAAGCGACATTCTAAAATGATTCATAATCTTATTTTGTCCTTGAGAAGAAGAAACCTAG